GAAAGAGTGATACCAGGGTATTTGAATGCTTTACAACTTGCATAGGAGCCGGTGATGTGCCCTTGCAGCAAAGCAGGCCAACAGCCTCCTGGGCTGCATTAAGCCCAGGAGTATTGCCAGCAGGTGATCCTCCCCCTGCTTAGCACTGGAGAGGCTGCGTCTGGAGTGCTGGGTCCAGTGCTGGCCTCTCCAGTGCAAGAGAGACATGAACATTTTGGAGCAAGTCCAGAGAAGGGCCACAAAGGTGAAGAGCCTGGAGCATCTCTTGTATGAAGAGAGGCTGAGAGAGCTGGACCTGTTCAGCCTGGAGAAGAGAAGACTGAGGAGGAGATCTTATCAACATGTGTAAATATCGGACAGGAGGGTGTAAAGATGGAGCCAGAGTCCTCTCAGTGGTGCCTGGTGACAGGACAAGAGGCAACGGGCACAAATTGAAATACAAGAAACTTTAAACATAAGAAAAAAAATTCTGTACTGTGAGCGTGGTGGAACACTGGAACAGGTTGCCCGGAGAGGTTGTGGAGCCTCCGTCCGTGGAGATATTGAAAACTTGACTGGATGCAGCCCTGAGCAACCTGCTCGAGCTGACCTGTCCTCGAGCAGGCGGGGGTTGGACCAGATGATCTCCAGAGGTCCCTGCCAGCCTCAGCCATTCTGTGATTCTGTGGCTGGTTTAAATAAATCATGTATTTATGCCTATGAAGTTACAATAATAAAATAAGCTTGATGAAAACATAAAACACTGTTCCAATTCACAGTGCAGACTTGTACTGATTTACTTCATGAAGACTTGAATGCTCACAATATTCTGAGAATAATGGGAAAAATTGAGTATCAAAATTAGGAAAATCCTTGAGCTTTACAAATTTCTGGAGTTCCTCATCCGTCAGTCTTTGGCAGAGGGTTGAATCTTTCATTGCAGTATTGGAGTGAGCTGAGCAGTAACCTCCTCTAAGGGCAGCATGACATGAGGGCAGTAGCAGTCTAAGCAGGGTCACTGAAGAAAAGATCAGTGTTTGCTATTTCAGATGCATTTAAAGGAGATATAACAAGCAATGATGAAGCTGCTTCTTACATTGTTTGTTACCTTTTTTAATTTCCCTATTGTCACTCTGTCACTCAGGCTTTATTGTCTTCTCTCCCTTTTGTCACATATCAATTGCCTACTTACTTACATCATCACTGAAAAAAAAAGTTCAAATCGTCCAGTAGCTCTTCTTAATGGCCAGTTTAGTGTCATTGTTCAGTATAAGCTATGTTAGTTCTGTTCTCTCTAGTTCTGTGTTCTCACTGTCTTCAGAAAGCTACTTTAAAAGTATAACTGAGTTTGCAAAGGGAAAAATTCTGAGATAAGGTATTCCGGAATCAAATTTCCATATAGAATCTCAGTACCACTCCCCGTGTATTGTGACATAGTCTTTAACTGCGTAGAAATCAATACCTGTGCATGATGGGAATGCACATCCTTTTGTGAATCAAAGCCTCCATCAAAGTCATTTTATCAGGCATTGAGGTTTGTACTGTCTTTATTTGTCGGCTAGATACTCATCAGACCTATGTGGGCCTGTTAGACAAAAGATGAAGTTCTCTTGGTGGTATAATAATTTTTAAGTGTTTGGTGTGAGCAGTAACAAAATATGCCTTTATTGGATGTACAGGGATGTATGTGTGTACATGTGTAGAAGTGTGCATGCACCTGTACAGATTGACTTTCAAAAGTATGCAATTAATGTAGTTAACATTTTATTTTTAATACCTGGAATGTTTTAAAGTTTTTCTGTTTCTTTATAGGAGATGATGTTTGTAAATCTAATTACTTTAAGGCCAGAAAGTGCTACAATCTTATTTTAATTCGTACTTCCATGTAAAGCAGTCAAGTAAAGTATGTAAAATGTAAACTCACTCTGTCAAATCCTAATTTTAGATTAGTGTAATTTCAATGCAGTGAATGCGAAAGGTTTTGGAAGAGGAGGTATGTTCCTGGCTCCAGTGCTCTCTCTTTTTTCAGTACTTGGAGATTTAGAAAAATTAAATTCTGCCTAAATAGATATTACCTGCACCTAAATTACAGCCTGTAATGTCTAAAGGCTAACACGTAACTTATTAGGCCTTAGGCTGCCTCCATCCATGAGCAAGTAAAAAAATTGCTGTCTAGCACCTCCTGACTTTAAAGATACGTCAAATTTATTAGCCTCATGGGTGATCTACATCCAGCTCACACCCAGGCATGCCCAGCCTGGGGAGTCTGGCGTGGGGAGTTAGATGTTCATCTTCTGCTTTTCTTCAGATCCACTGAGGAGAGCACAAAATATGTTAAGTTTAGGCAGGAACGCATAGATACATTTTCCTGATGTATAACTGTGCTTTAGAATAGGATGCCTCTGGAGGCCATGGACTTGCCATCGCAATTAGAAAAATCAGACAAACCTCTCAGGGACATTCCAGATATATTTATTATACTTCAGTGTACCCCTTTGGTTCCTTTTAGACCTACTTTTCTAAGATTCCTTGCAGAAAAAAAGACGACTCCAGAAAATTATAACTTTTATTTCTAAATACGTACATTACTATTTTCCCTGCCTTATGCAAAGACTAAAATAAAATGGAGTAAGCAATATGAACTTTTAACTTTTCTTTTTATCTTGAGAGCTTTTTATTAGTCAAACACAACTAAATGTTGTGCATCTATTTGGAAAAATAGAATAACCTTGCTTCCTTTGGCAATAATATCATACAAGATACGCAACTGTTGTTGACTGGTTCAACTGTTGGAACAATAAAGCAGTTCAACTAAAATCTATTGTTTTAGAGACTGGGATCTGTGTTTGCATGCCATTTTTCAAGTTGCTGTTAGCTGTGGCTGCCATGGTACGTGTCTAGAAGTTGACATTTGCTTTGATCACTGTGTCTAACTTCACTATACAGTTGTTTCCTTCAACACCCAGCAACGATCTACCCTTTCGTTATTAGAAAACTTAGCGTTCTGTACTGCATTCACTGAGAGATATAACTCTTTGTTTTTCAGAGCTTCCATATGGCTGGGAGAAAATTGATGATCCCATTTATGGCACTTATTATGTTGAGTAAGTTCCCAAGTTCAATATTAACTTGCTGTTACTATATCATAACCTAATATTAGTATTCTCTGCAGTACTTAGATTGGGAAGGCATGAGTACAATTACTTGTGCAGTTGGACCGAAGGTATACCAGGAATTTTCAGTCATCAGTACAGTTAATGTGGCTAAATATATTCAATGCGTCTCCAATCAGGTAGTCGTTCTGTTTCTTCAAGGTCTGATTTCATGGTAACATTTCAGCAGATACTTGTAGGAATTATATTCATTATATTCATTAAAGAAAAGTTGTACATTCTGTATGAGGTTTGGATGTCCAGTGAGGCATAGGTCTTGCTAATCAATGAATAGAGCAAAGCATAATCATTTTAGCTCAGTTAAGATCCTTTCCTGGGTAGTCCTTCCTTGCTGCAAATCAGATGTTCATACTGTTTCTGTCACAAGGCAGGTGTTATACCCTGCATGTAAAATTTCAGGCATGTCGTGTTTTATTTTATATTTAAAAGTACAGCTGAAGGTGAGAGAATGTGAATTTCTATTTTCACAGCACAATCCTTGCTTTCATTTCTTCAGACTTTATTTTGTTCATGAAACGAAAAAGTACCCATTCTTACTCCCCTGTGCCAACGACAATAATAAGCGTTTGCGTGAAGTAAAAAAACCTTACTTTAGGTAGATCCTATATAAAACTGATAAATCAGACAGTTCTCAACTGCTTTTTAACTTTACACAATCAATGTAACTTAGGCATAGTGAATCTAGATTCAAAACTGTGATCCTGTTCAAAGGTTTCATTCTCACTCTGCTCTCACGTCAATGACTACCGAAACTATTTAGCAGAGGATAGCGAAAGCCACTCTCCTGTTACTGTGCAGACAGCGCTTTGAAAGACTACTTGTGCTGAGAAAGATCTATCCATTAGTTCCATTTATGAAAGAAGGGAGAAGACGGTCCCTAAGCTAAAATCTCAATTTCAGATCCTGATAATGAGCAGTACATTTACTTTAGTTGTTTTTCCTACAGAATATAGAATTTTAGTTTGTGCATCACACTACTCCCTAGTTACCTTTATCTCTTGAATCTGTACTAACACTATGGTTGCAGGCTCATTCTGTACAGATACTAGGTCTGCTGGTCTTCCAGTTCCAGACCGCAGGGGATGCTGCCATGAACCTGAGCAGGGTAGAGTTGGCTAAGAGAGATCATGAAAGATCTAATTTCTGGAGCGTTAGGAGCTGTATCCATAAGGTTTCCTTTTCTTCATAGCTATAACAGCAGCAGCTTGCGGATGCCCATGTGCTTTCCCTAGCCCTCCTACAAAGCAAACAAACAAATGGAAGCAGTGTTTAGCCACTGTCCTGCTCAGTCCTTCTGTCCCATTTTCCAAATGCAGTAGCAATTGCCCTGCCTCTTTTTTCCCAGCTTGCTCCCTGCCCTCAGCTGAAAGAGCCAGCAGCTCCATCTGCTTTGCTGGTTGACCCAAGGCAGCTCAGTCAGTCCAGAGTCCTATTTATCTGAAGCAAAAAGGTGAGTAAGTTTTTGAAGTCCCCAAGTAATGCTATTAAATCAGCCTCTCTCTTTATGCTTGAGTTCTTTCAGAATATCCCCGAGTAGTTAGGGGTTGGAGTTCACATATCTCTTTGTCATTAATCCCCTGAAGATTTCTCTACATACAATTGTGCAACTGCTGGGTGGGAGTAGGACTCTTCTGTGCCAGTGGTTTTTAGTGTATTTTGGTGAGTAACAGGTGTTGTGCGATTTCTGTGCATTAATTTCTTACTGAGACCCCCCCCTTTGTTGCCAGCGTAGCTCAAAGCATTTTGGCACTGATGAGGCTCGCAGTCCCATTGCACAGTCAGAAAAGGAACAAGTATTTATCTCCATTTCATGTCCATCCTCACACAGACAGACACAAGGCCCCTCGCCCACAAGTTACTATGCAATTATATATTTTAAGGCTGTTATTGCCAAATTCAGGCATCCTATCACAGATAAGATTTGTGGAAAGATATATCAAACCTACTGTAAGCTCAGAGGTTTTTAGAAGTGGAATGGATGTTCACAGGCTGGTATTAAAACTTCGGCAGCACTAGGTTCGTAAGGAGTTTTATAGCCGGTAAAATGTACCTGTACTTTAATTTGCTGTCTGAGCTCAATAAGTTTGAAACAAAAATTGCTTTCCATTTTTCATTGTTAAAAGTGACAGTTATGCCTTTTTTATTACCAGTATTCAACAGATGAGTTCATTTTTAACTACATAAAATCAGATTACAATGAACTCTCTTAATTATGTCATAAAAGTGGGTAAATCATGAAAAGTTAGGTTGTGAACTTTCACACACTGAAGTCCAATCCAACTTTATATGCAGGCCTTTAAATCGGTCAGTGAAAGAATGGCTCCTACTCTGCTTGCTGAAATATTGGTATCCCATGGGAAGTTGGTAAGGATGAGCAATGAGACAGTCAGATTCGGGTTCACCTTACAAGGGCCAGCCATGCTCAGCTCCAATATTCTGAGACCAAAAGAGAAGGTAAAACATTAAAATAAAACTAAAGAGTTGTTATCAAAGCTAACGAACACTAATCAAAGTATTTTTAAATTCTTTTCAAATCTTTTAATCATGCATGAATGTACATGTGAGAGATTATTAAAATTTTCATTTACCTGTTATGCAGGTCCAGGTTTCATTTGTATGGGGTAGACGTTTGACTTAATGAGAAGTGTTTGCTATACGTGGGTTAACTTTCATGCAATTTTCTCCTAATTTATAAACTAAGAACAAGCAGCACTTAGCTGTGCTGGGCTATGGAGAGAATGTGGTTATTAAAGCGCACTGAGTCTTTCAGCATTCTAGTTACCAAAAGATTATTCCCCCCTTTAAGGATGATTAGCTGCAACACACAACTCAGTTTCCAGACGTAGTCTCCTTAATAGAACAGCTAAATTGACCATACAGGTATTTATTGTGAAAAAAACATACCTCCTTTACTTATAATTTCTGACAATGCTCTGTCACTGCTCAAATAGAAAAACTTCTCTTGGGATGTCTTTCTGTCCTCATTAGATATTGGCACCTGAGAACTGAGAATGAAAAAAGGGCTTAGGCACTAACTCATCTGTAGTAATTGGTCTGATTTAGCCATGGAGCTATTCAGATCTCAAAATAGCATGAGACAGAGTTGCTCTTTGTTTTACTGGAGTTGTCTCATTCTCAGGTCATCATTTGTTATGTATTTACAGTCTTGGGTCATAAATCCAGTGCAAGTGACTTAGAAAAAACACCAATTTTATGTATAATTTTCTTTTCTTTGACTCCTTTTGGACCAAATATTTAATGAAGTTGTTTGAATTTGATAGCATTTTAACAGTGCTTTAGAGACTACACGCCACCATACAAGTCAAAAATATGGAAATAAACTGGAGTTAAGAATTATTCGTATTGCATCAACACTCTGAGGTGTCTCAAATACCTCTGCTAAGTCTTCTTCCCTGATCTCACTAGGGCAGAAAGGCCATTACTTGAGACGTTTCTGTCTAAATAGATTAAAGCACAACTTAAACTCAACCTAGAAACTGCTGAGAGGCAGCTGATTGATGTTCGATGAACCATGGAGACAGCCTGTATTATCTAAAATCGTATTCTTCTACCACAGAACCATATATAAATTGTAACGTAGATCTGCAAGATGCCTCCTGTGACCCTGAGACATGCCCTGCATGTACAGCATGACACGAGGCATAGTTGAAAGAACTAAACGTAGGTGTGATCATGGTTATCCATTACATCTGCGCAATATGGCACAAGAGCTATGGGAAACCCATGCTCTTCCAGCAGAGCAGCTGAAGACCAGGGCAGGATACTTTAGAACCTCTAAAATGACACTTGATGTCTGTGTTGAGGCCACTAACTCTGCCCACTTGTCGCAATCCTGTTTTTAACCTTGTCAAATGCGGGCATAAAGACGGCTAGATATTTTACCCCACAACTACTATTGGAAGCTGTTTAGAAGGATTTCTCACTTCTGCTTGTAAGAAGCCTTCTGATTTAAAGTTCAAATTTATTCCTATCCAAATTTTAGCTGTTTTAGTGCTTAGCTTTTACCTACTCTGTCATCTCTAGTATCTCCTAGTATTCACTTCTGAACATATTCATAGAATGTGATTATATGTCAGCACTCATTTTGCTGGTACAAAAAAGTGCAACTCCTTTAGTCTTCTCTTGTAGGAGACACTTTCACTGCTCTATGTAGAAGACCTTTTCATGACCGTTTTACTTGGTCATGAGTGATGAGAACTTTGTCTAGTGTTTAACATGATGTTTCATGACTGCCGTGTGCAATAGCAAAAGTAGTATTTGCTTGTCAGTATGAAAATGCATCGCATGATAGGTACTAGCATGAAATTTACCTTTTCCCTGCCTATATTAGTAGTTCATAATTACCCTATGATCATTTAATGCATGTAAGTCTTATCTTGCTCTGTTTCTAACGGATAAAATTTCTCTCCCTTCCATCATACCTTTCTAGGTTTGCAATAGACTAAGGTGATGAAGACCCTTATAATTACAGCATGGTCTACCTAGGAAAGGAAAGCCTGCAATTTTAAGTAACCTATATGAAGTACAAAAGATACAAAAGGAGCTTTTTCTGTCTGAAACACAGACTGTAATTTACAGAATTTATAAGAAAATTATTAATCAACATTTCAGAATACAAGAGAGTTAACAGCCACTTGAATGTGTTATAACAATGTTAACAAAGTAGCAATTCTAGAATTTATCAAATTTATTTTATATCTTCTTAATAAAAGAAATATTCTTTTGCATGAATGGAAATGTTTTCATTGCATTATCTGCAGCCACCCAATCCTGACTTTTGAGGTATATTATTTTCCCTTAGGACTTGATCTCTTCTCTCTAGTCCACTTTTTAATGGCAATCCCACTTGTTTTCTCTGAAGCAATGCTAAGATCTGAATCCTGAGGAACCTGAAAAGCGCTTAATAGTTGAGAAAAAAGGTCATTTTGGTATAAATTGAAGGCATTAGACCCTTTTTAGGGGTCTCAAACTTTCAAGAATTCCCAGGTCACCTCTCCAAGGGATAAAAGCCGGTGATAGGGATTGTATTTTCAGAAGAACTCCACGTGCAGTTGCTCAGTAAGAGCAAACAAGGAGTGACATGTCTGAAAACTTCCCTGTTGTACATATGTATGTATTTCCCCAGAACAACATTTGCAGCACAAACCCCTTTTTCTAATCTACGATCCTATCATGCAGAGCTGCTCAGTGCCACCAACTAAATGCTTTTGCCTTTCTCAGAAAAAGTGTGAAACATGCCACAGGAGAGTGTCCACGTTTTGTAGGATTACTCATTAATTGATTAAATGTATCCTTTAAATTAAAATCAAGGATATGATTGGAGTACATGGTTAAGATCGTACTTATAAACAAAATATAGAACATCAGTAAGCTGGCAGTGGAAATGAACTTACTGTTTTGTTATGGAAATTTAATACATCAAGGAAAAAAGTGTACAACTTTAACTTTTTTTTATAATTCATATATATTTTATATGTAGCAGTAATCTGCTGTCTGACGTAGTTTCTGCATGATCTTGTTTTTCTGTACAGCTTAGCAGATAAATACTATAGAATTGAAAAGGAATCATATTCAGTTTGTTTCCTGTGTTAGATTTATTCATATTTTAAGCAGTGATCATAAATGCACTCTGTGTGCTAGGCTTTACCTTTTACTGCAAGTGATTAAGTAATTTCATTTACAGATTATCTATAAACATGCACGAGACTGGTTCAGTTTCTTTGAATCATGCACAGAACAATGTTTGTACTAAAGAGATGAAGCATTCTGTTGCATGCTTCAGTAGTGCTGCAATTAATACATAGTCACATAGATCAAAACCGTTCGCCTGTAGCAGAGCAGCATATTGAAATGATATGGCACTTCCCAATGCTGTTCATTAATGTTATGCACTACATCATGCATTTCTCATCCCCAGCAAAATTATGTGGGGTTTAAAGGCGGCCCATAGGGATTTCACAGGGTTTCACTGTCTAACCGTACACACATCACTTACAGCATCCTACTGTGAAAATTATCATTTTCCCCAAATGAACCCAATTTTTAATCAAAACCAAATTTTTTCCAGCCACATAAACAGAAGAACACAATTTGAAAACCCTGTCCTAGAAGCAAAAAGGAAGCTACAGCAGCATAACATGCCCAACGCAGAACTTGGAACAAAGCCTATGCAGGCCCCAGGTTTCCGAGGTATGGTACCATATCAGCGTATCTAAGTTAAAATGAAAGATCCTGCTTTCCTGTTTATGTGACAATGACTTTGTCATAGGCTGACTAAAATAATAGTGTTGCCAGTTCTCACAATACAATCAGGTATGCCTTTTTCCCTGAAAGTCCAAGCTCCTGGAGTTGTGGGACTCTCATGAGCCATCTACAAAACTCTAACCTTCAGAGTCACAGAGAAAAGATGACCTAGTGTTTCCTAAAGGCTGAGAAACAGAGAGCACAATAAGAACCCCAAAGTCATTTTCTAAATAAAATCATAATTTCTGTTCTTGGGGACGTATTATCTTGAGCACCCTATGTTGGCAACACTGAAATAATTAATTGTACTTTCTCTAAATTGTTGTGAATTGATGTGTAGTATGTTTCTAAGCTAGCTCATCTTGCAAGCATCAATTAAGCTAAAAGCCTCAAGCAGTATGTTATAGGAGTTTATAAGAATGCAGCCTCTTGGTAATGTGAAAATTAATGCGCTTAAAATGAACTGTGTAAGCAACAAACAGTATTGGTAGAGACAAATAAGCTTTAACATAAGGTTATAGCCAAAGAATGAGGCTTGTTCTCCTTTGTAACAGTAGAAAGCTCCTCATCAACATTACCTAGGCCCAAACATGCTCACCCGCGCCCTGCTCCTCAGAGGTCCCGCAGTGTGAATGATCTGTCTCAGTGTCGGCGCGACAATGCTGGGATGTACAGACTGTATGGTATGTCCGTGTGCTGCTTGTTAGGCAAGCTGCACTGCTGTAAAAGTAGTGAGATAAGTTTAAGTCACAATCTTTTCACTTTTCTCATACCTTTTCCTCACAAAACAAAGCACAGCAGAGAGGCACTGGAAGCCAGGTGAGGTCTGTTCTTGCCCGCTGGTGGCTCACGCTGTACACTGAAGCACTCTGAAAGGGAATGTAAAGGTCACACAACTGTCACAGCAGTCATAAATGTCACTTGTTGGATGCCAAAATCCTGTGTGTTTGGAGAGAAAAGATTACCTCATATTCAGCATTATTTTTTAACAAGTGGAATGAAGTATACAGGGAATAATTTCCTTGTTGTGGGTGGGAGGGAAATTGTGCAGAATGTATTACTTGGTAGACAAAGCTGAATTTATAGGTTAGGAATAATTTGAAAGAGGTTTTAAAATTACCTCAGATATCATTTTTATTGTTGTAATTATTTTAGCTGCACAATATCCACTTCTAAATGTATTTCTAATATGAAATAACATATATAACTCCCCACTTATAGCTGATCTGCCATAAATAAAAATCCTTTTTAAGCTTTGTATTAGCATAAGAACTCACTAGTATTTTTTCCTGGAATGCTTGCACTCTTTGTTTGCTCTGTTTTCATACACTGTCACCTACTGTCAGCTGCTACTGTTATCTGTTGTCCCTGCCGAGCTATGACCAGATCAGAA